AGCTCCTTATGTTATAATGCATACATTAAGGTCCTTGTGTGCTAATGTAACAGCTCTGCCACTGTCTCCTCACTCTCTGGATGTAACCCTTTTCCAGTGCATAACTCTTGCTCGCAGGCTTGTACAGCACAAGTCGTTCTTGGCTGAAGCAATTTTCTCCTTCCTCTACTCATCCAGCTCACTCCTAATTATCCTTCAAAGCTCAGTTTAAAGGTGAGCTGCTTCAGAAAAAGCTTTTTGTTCTCCCTAGATTAGACTGGGCACACATGCTATGTGCAGTTGTTCTAATTTTTCACGTGACTGTTCATATGAGTGAATTTTTCCTCAGCAGACAGAATGCTATCAGGGTAGGGATTATCTGTTTTGCTTTTCATTCTATCTTTTTGTCTCGAGCACAGTAAGTAGAGGTTTAAAAAATGAAGTTTACTGAGAAAAAATGTAATTAGCTTTATTGTGTGACTCAATGTTTATTTTTTGAAGTACAAATGAAGGATATATGTATAATATAACTGTTTTTTTTCTCTCACCCTCTCCCTCTCTTTTTTATGGATGGGCTTCCAAATCATTGGCAACCCAGAATCCTTACTCACCTGTGTAAGTTATATTTCTTCATATTGAACGGTTTTATAACAAGCATTTATGATAATTGACAAGTCAAAAAATAAAGAGAAAAAGGCAGTATTGCATATGTAGCTATGACTGTGAACCTCAGAAAAATTTATATTCATATAACCAAAACCAAAACCTACTGCCATCAAGTTGATTCTGACTCATAGTGACTCTGTAAGACAAAGCAGAACTTCCCCAAAGCATTTCCAAGGCTGTAAAACTTTATAGAAGCAGACTGCCTCATTTATCTTCTAACTAGCGGTTGGTGGATTTAAGCCACTGACCTTTTGGTTAGCAGCCCAATACTTTAACCATTATACCACCAAAGCTCTTTTGTATGCACAAACCAAACCAAACCAAACCCACTGCCATTGAGTCAATTCTAACTCAGAGCGACCCCTGTTGGGTATCCAAGGCTGTAAATCTTTACGGAAGCAGATATCCTCATCTTCTTCCATGGAGCAGCTGGTAGGTTCGAACCACCAACCTTTTGGTTAGCAGTTAAGTGCCTTAACTACTACACCACCAAACTAAAACCAAACCAAACCCACTGCCATTGAGTCAATTCTGACTAATAGTGAATAGAGATCTTTTTTATATGTATATAGAATCCTGAAAATTACTATGCCAAAATTAAAATAGCTCTTGTAATGGAATGGTAGGATTATTAATAACTCCTTTTTTCATTTTGGTGGAAATATACTACACAACAAAATATACAGTAGATCAACAATGTGTACATGAATAATTCAGAAGACATTGGTTATGTTATTCAAGATGGGGCAACTTTCTCAATATACTTTTCTAAATTATTTCACCTTTAAAACATAACCACATTGCCCCCTTAAGCTTCTCATCTCACATTTTTCATTTTCTTTCATATTATTTCTTCATTTTACTGAAAAATGTACAATATTGCCTTATTTAGAAATTTTAGCTAAATGTACTTATTAGATACATAAAATTTTGCATTTTATACTTAGGAGAGTCAAAATGAATTTAAAGATAACTATATCTGTGTCTAAGGAGCTCTGGAGGTGCAGTGGTTAAAGCATTTGGAAAGATGAGGCAGTCTGATTTTGTAAAGGCTAACATCTGTGGAAACCCTATAAGGCAGTTCTACTCTATCCTAAAGGGTCACCACGAGTTAAAATTGATTCAATGGCAGTGAGATTCCTCTTTTTTTTTTTTTTTTTTGGTTTAGATCTGTGTCTTACTCTTATTTTGAGGAATATGATGATTTTATCAGTATTATTAAAATGATCTTTATTTTTGGACTAGTGTATGTTACTATATGTTTACATTTATATTATTTTGCCTTTTTAAATTTCAAATTATAGGATTTTTATATTCTTTTCAATATATTTATTAGACTATAGGGCTTCTTAGAAAATAGAAATGGACACCTCTGTAATTTATTAGATTGAGGTACATGAAGTTGACATATGTAGATTAAAAATGGGCACATATCAATTTCATGTGTTTCTATGTAATAGTTACCTATATGTTCATCTAAACATAAAAAATTGAGCTAGACACAAGTACTAAAAATTGAAAAACCAAACTCACTGCTGTCGAGTCTATTTGACTCATAGTGACCATTCCTTGGGTTTCTGAGGCAGTATCACTATGGAAGTTGATTGCCCGAATTAAGTATATAACAGTGGCTGCTGACAGTGGTATGCTGACAAATGTTTAATAACTGGTTATCTGAAAATTTATTATAAGGTTATTATAAATTTGACTTTTTGATCATGAATAAGCTTAAGTTGATTTTTAAATTTATTACAGATCTTACTGATAAAACAATTAGCAACTAATATATAATAATGCAATGTATTAGCTCTTTATTATAAATCTCATATTGACAATTAATTCTCATAGAATGCTGTCTTTTTTTTTTTTTTTCTGAATTCTTGCATCTGTTGCAAACCTGTGCAATTAATGAACCAGTTTAGTTCCAACATGAGTATTAGTGGATATTTTATTTATTTTATTTTATTTATTTTAAAGTGATCTGTTACTTAGCTAAATTGAGTAGTAGTTTTGAATACTAGAAAAATATTTAATTTTCTTTGTGTTTGTGCTATTCAAAATATAATAGCTACAGACATGACACACTTTTAAGTTATTATTAACATTTTCTCCACAACTTTTTTAAGTCTCAACAATCAGCAAAATCAAAAAGCACTTGCTGATTTCTGTGTTAATACTCCCATCTGGGCTGATTTAAACCTACCTATGTGATAGCATAGTGCCTAAGGCACTTGATTGCTAAGCAGAAGCCTGGCGGTTCAAACCCACCAGCCACTCCTGGGAAGGAAGGTTGGGCAATCTACATCTGTAGTGATACTGCCTGGGAAACCCAAGGAGGGGTCACTATGAGTTGGGGCTGACTCAACGGCACCTAACAACAACAACATGTGATATCACGAGGAGCTCTGGTGGTGCAGTAGTTAGGCATTTGGCTGCTAACCAAAAGGTCGATGGTTGGAAATCCACTAGTCACTCTGCAGGAGAAGGATGAGGCAGCCTGAGTCCATAAAGATGTACAGCCTCAGAAACCCTATGGAGCAGTTCTACTCTGTCCTACAAGGTTGGTGTGAGGTGGAACCAACTGGATGGCAGTGAGTTTGGTATGTGACATCACTGAACATAGTTGGAAAGAGATGGACACCATTATATTATTATACAGGTGTGATAGATGTTAACAATGTCTGTTGTTGTCGTTATCTGCCATGGAGTCGGAACCGACTCATAGCGACCCTCCTTGGGTTTCCAAGGCAGTATCACTACGGAAGTAGACTGCACCATCTAGATCACAGGTAATAGTGAAACACAGTAAAAGTATTAGGAAGTGATCAGTTTTGAGTATTTATTATCTTTGTTTTAATATAATTTATTTAAAGATTATGGAATTTAAATTTCAATAACAGCTGTGTTCAAATAAATAGTTTGAAAAATACCAAACACTTAATAAAAGCCTCTCATAAGCTGGTATGAGCCATCTTCAGTACAGCACTAGCTTCAGTGTATATTTAATATAAGAAAGTAACATATATAATTTTTAATTATTAAAAATCTCATTTTTTAAAGTTGTGGGTTACATAGATGATTTCTTTCAGGGTCCCACCACTTGATTTGGGAAGCCTCGTTGACTCTGATGATGAGGTAATTTTTACTTGATATCTTATATATAAGATTTGAATATAGTATTATATATAAAACATAATAAATACCATTTAATTTTATTTTTAGGATGATTTTTCCTATATTCCACTTAGTACAGCGCATATTCATTTTAACCCACCAAAATTATCTTCTGCTCTTGATTGGGTCACACCATGTCAAATATCTTATTCTCAGCATCATCTAAATGAACTGGTTAGTATTTATTTGCTTAATTATAAGCTTTCAAAATTATGGTAGGTGTTATTATTACAGTCTTTAACCCAGAAATTTCATTTTAGTAAGTCTATGTTTTGTCCAGTTTAAATATTTTATATATCAAAATCCCAAATTATATTGTTGATGAAATAATTTTACTTTGTTTTACATTTTTTTCCCCTCAGAGGTAGCAAACTCTATAAGAATGGTATTTTAAAAATGTCTTATAAAATTGGTCAAGAACAAGCATATCCTAGAATGGAATCAAGTAATTTAAAAAATAAGGCAGAATATTAGATCAGATCTTGGTGATTTAACAATGTAAAATTGGATGCTTGGAAATGATTCATACTTTAGGCTACTAGGATTAAAAAAAGAAAGGAAAGAAAGAGTGCTGTGGAGTGGTGTCCAATTCATGGTGACCCCATGTGTGTATGAAGTAAGTGATTGTACTTCAAACAAAATCTAGTGTTTAACTGCACATTATGAATATAAGTTCTGACCAGTATTCATTGTTTAGGGTTTGCTTCTTTGTGTTTGTTAATCTTTTTCCTATGTCTGGCTCTATTTGTTTTCCTCAGTCTCATTTTGAGTAAATTTGCACAAATAGTACCTCATCTGTATCTTGCTAGAGTTTTCACCCTGAAGCTTTGCCTCATCCTTCTCCTCAGAGTTAGACTTCTAGGATACGCTTAACACTCTTCTAGGTTTGGGATGGCTTTGCTCTAATCCTTTTGGAATGTCTTTTTCTCTACAACCCAACAGGTGTGCGTGCTCTTCTATTTGCTTAGTACTCCTAATAGGTTTCTGTTATTCATTGACTCTATTATCTCTCACTTCTATGGAAATATGGCAGGAAAAAAAAAAAAAAATAACACCTGAAAGTAGAATATCTGTTTCTAGAAATGCAACCAGTGTTTCTGGTATTAGTGATCTCCAATTCCTATGAATATTCTGGAAGAAATGATTGACAATGGAGTTTTTCTAGGGTAGAAAATAATAATAATAAAGCCTATCGAAGACCACAATGAAGAAAACAAACTTGTTTTTTCCTCTCACTTTCTTTTAGAACTAAGACTGACCTTCAGCTGGTAAAGGTACAGCCTTACTGATTTTAAGGCCAGTGTCAACTCTGAGCAGTTTGTCTGCTCTCATGAGTCACTAGTACTGTTCCAGCTCACTGTTTTAAATATCACTTCTATTTATGACACAGATTTAATGGTCTGTTTCTTATGTATAAATGCCAAGGTAAATAATACACCTGCTAATAATAATAATTAAATTTTTTCTGGTGGATACTATGTATGTATGTATGTGTGTGCATGTATACACACACACATATGTTATCTCTAGGACCAAAACATCATACCTGAAGATCTGCCAGCACCAACAGAGAAATATAAACTAAAATATCAGCAATACAAAACTGAAATGAAAGAGGGATATAAACACTATAGTCGGAAAAGTGCAGAAAAGACAAAATCAAATATCACATGTCAACAGTTTCCAAGAAGCAAGATAGATGACAAGGTAATGTATCAAGCTTTATAAAATACTAATGAGGTTTAGAAGCCCTGGTGACACAAAGGTTAAGTGCTCCATTGCTAACTGAAAAGTTGGTTAGTTTGAACCCACCTATCAGCTCTGGTGATCTGTTCCCCTAAAGATAACAGCCTAGAATACCCTATGGGGCATTTCTGCTGTTACATGGGGTTGCTCTGAGTCAAAATGGACTAGATAGCACCTACCAACAACAACAATGGTGTTTAAAGAAAACAATCCTATGTATTATATAATCCAGGTATGTGTTGCTTAATGTCCATGATACGGTTCGGTGAAATAGGATGTTATGCAGTTTGATGCTGTGAGAACATTGTGTTATATACAGGCTGTGCTGTACCATCTGGAGTTAAATACTTATAAAGCTTATTATATTAAAACCTTATAGGAGCCGTCCAGACAAAGCCCAAGAGCTGCATCCATTGGATACAGAAAGCCAGATGTGCTGAGTAGGGATTGGGACTTTGTACACATGTGGGCTTAGGTCCAGGGAGAGAACACAAGGGAGGGCGGGGTGCAGAGAAGTGGCCTTGGGGACTGGGCAGGGATTGAGTATGTGGGTACCAAGAGCATGGCTGCTGGTGGTACCCTTGGCTGCTGCCACCCCATTGGTATAGCTGTACCCTGATCATGTGTGTGTGCGCTGCCACTGCTGCCTGGAGCCAGAAGTTTGCAAGTGTCCTGGCCCAACCTGCGCGGCTAGAGCCCACAGCAGGAGCAGAAGAGCTGTGGCAGATACTCTCCTGTGTGGGAAGTGAAAGGGTGTATGCTGCTGGCTGGATAAGTGAAGCCAGGAGCGGGGAAGAAGGAGGACAAGAAAGAGGCACTGCAAGGATTGAGATATACCCTGGAGCCCTGATGGAATTTTGGGTCTTTAAAACCATTAAAAACCCACTGGCATCTAGGTAATTCTGACTCATAGTGACCCTATAGAACAGACTAGAACCACCCCATATGATTTCCAAGGCTGTAATTCTTTACAAAATGAAGGTGCCTCATTCTCCTGTGGGGAAGCTGGAGAGTTAGAAACACCTAGGCTACCAGAACTCCTTTTAAAACCCTTCCCAAACCAAACCAAACCCACTGCCATTGAGTTGATTCTGACTCACAGTGACCATCACTGGGTTTCCTAGGCAGTAAATTTTTACAGAAGGAGATTGTCCTGTTTTCCTTCCATGGAGCTGCTGGTGGGTTTGAACTGCCAACCTTTTGGTTAGCAGTCAAATGCCTTAGGCACTGTGCCACCAGAGCTCCTTTTTAAAATCATTAGAAGGAAATAATAAAAGGAGAGCGCCTTTCCCTTTTTTTTTTTTTTTTAATATACAAACCTTATGTGACTATGGATATATATGTGGTTGGGGTAACATTGCCTAAAAGAGGTTAAGCAATGCATGTCACATACCTGTATATCCTGCTGTTAGTAAAAACATTTAGAAAAAGTGACCTTTCCACACAAAAAGTGTTAAGTGTTAGCCGTATAATTATAATAGCTGACACTTATTTAACACTCTCTGTGTGCCAGGGGCATTTTTTCACTTTTTACTATTTATTTATTTATAATTGTGATTTGGGTGGAAATTTACAAAATAGATTTGTTTTACTCTCAACAGTTCATACACTTTTGATTTCATGGCCCCGATTACAATCCCCAACCATAAAAACTCCTTCCTTTTGCCTCCTCACTTCTCCCTGTGACTACCCCTTCCTTTTGCCCTTCTAATCTATGCATTCCCATCTGTCCAGCTTTCTCTCTGTGTGAATGCTGCCCCTCTGATGTCTCATGGTTGATTGATCTAAGGGGTACATCTTTCTAGGGTGAGTGGGTGTACCTCCCTGGGGGAGGTGATCTACTGTAGGTCTTTCCACTATTGGGTTGAGAACCAATCCACAGAAGTGAGTCCATTTCCAGGCCCAAAGGATAACCCCAGGCCATGGTCTCCGGGGTTTCACCATCTTCTATCCAACCAGTTATTCTGGTCATTTTTGTGTTTTTTAATTGTGTTCCGTATTTTTCTTCCCACTGGATGCAGGATCTCCAATTTTGATCTTTTCCAAGTGGTTGGCATTGCTAGCTGGGCATCATCTAGTTCTTCTGGTCTCAGAGTTGTAAAGGCTGAGGTCCTCGTGGTCCATCATATCTTTGGACTAATTGTTTCCAAATGACTTTGCTTTTCTTCCCTCTTCTCTGCTCCAGATGAGAGGAGACCAATAGGTGCATCTTAGACAGGTGCTCAAAATCTTGTAAGACCCCACTTACTACTTACCAAAGTAGGATGTAGAACAAGACTTTTATGTGCTTTGTTGTACCAATTGAGCATGATGTCCCCC